CTATTTACAAAGGGAAGGCCAACGGGATCTGATATACGAGGACTCTAGAAACTTGAGGTGAAATGAGGAGTGGGACCTAGATAAAACGAGAAACGGTCATATATATAGATATTGTTAGAGAATAGGATTAGATAGATAGATAGATAGATAGATAGATAGATAGATAGATAGATAGATGTTTCAAAATAAGCACTAAATTTGTAACTTTCTCACTACTCTTTCAGGCATCAGGAGAGCGTAAGGAGTTCATCCCATGTACATTACTCCGAGGGTGTTTGTCTGGGGGTATCGTGGAAATCTATGTGTACCAGTTAGTTGCATTCTTTACAAGAATGTTTTTACATATTTATATGTGATATTCATAATACATGATTGTTCATAGAAAATTATTAAAATTAAAATTGTTTTGCTTTACATATGGGCTTTCAGAAAAAAAGAACGATTTTTCTGAAGACCCGCATGTAAGAAAATTTTAATAATTCTCTATATCCATGCATGTATTATAAATATTACATATAAATATATAAAAACATTATACGTTTTTCAAAATCTTATTATTCTCTCTCTCATTTTATATATATATATATATATATATATATATATATATATATATATATATATATATATATATATATATATATATATATATAAATTGAACTTATAAATCTTTCAGCTACAGTGTTATTGGTTCACCTTTACATACACACACACACATATATACACACATGCAATCTCACTCTCTCTCTCTCTTCTCTCTCTCACATACAATATACACGAACACACACATATATGTGTGTGTATATATATATATATATATATATATATATATATATATATATATATATATATATATATATATATGGCAATTTCTCTGTATATGTAAATGCATATATTAGTGTGTTTCCTTGTGCGTGTGAATTTTTATTATGATCAGCTTTAATTTTCTGTGATACTATTTTATGGTATACGTAAATCACTAAACAGCTAAACGACTGAAAACAGGGTGGTCCGAATGTCTTGTCACGTAATGGGAACAATTGAAAAATATGTAATACAGTAATACTAAGCACATGCACTGGATTCAGTTTATTCACTTTCATTGACGATCATGTGTCCATACACTTGCAAGCAGCCTATCTTCTAGACTATAGAAGCTCTTGTCAGCCATCCAGAATCAGAAAATTATTTTATATAGGTTTGATAAGACTTTTTGGATCACCCTGTAATCAAAAGGAAAGTAAATTAGCAGTGAAAACTCTGATATATCTATCTATCTATCTCTCTCTCTCTCTCTATATATATATATATATATATATATATATATATATATATATATATATATATATATATATATATGTATATATATATATATTTTTTTCGCTTTTAGGCAATTCACCTCAAGCAAGTCAATAACGCCTTTAAGACGCTAGGAGCTACTTGAAGTGATAGAGAATAAATGAATTTAGACGGAAACGGAAATATAATCCTTAACAGGATGCAAGTGATAAATCTCTACTCTTGTTTAAAAGACCAGGAGGTATGTGAACCGGACGATAGTTGAACCTATCTTCTTCTATTAAGAAAAAAACGAATAAATAAATAGTAACATTTTCACAGTTTAGGTGGAGACGTTAAAAGTATGGAGTTGAAGTAGACTATAGAAGGAACCAGAAACCTTTAAACCAAAACAGGAAAAGGGATAAACCTCTACTCCTGTCCAAAAGACCGGAGATAGCTTTGAACTGGACGATAGATGAAGCTATCTACGCCTATTGTAAAATGTAAATAAACAAAGAGTAAAAAATCTCAGTGTTTAAGCGGAGACTTTAGAAGTATAGACTTGAAATATAATTTACACGGAACTGGAAACCCAATCCTAAACAGGAAAGAAGGGATGAATCTTTCCTCTTGTTCAAAATACAGACTGAGGTTATAACCGGTCGATAGGTGCATCTATTTACTCCTATTAAAAAAAAAAAAGTTCTTAAAAAAATTGTCAAAATACGCTCGCAGCTCAATTAACTAAAAAAAAATCTCATTTTGTTCATGAACACAACCACACCTGCTAGAAAGCAATTGAGATCAGCTGAAAATTTACAATGATTTCCATTGTTACGTGGACTTTTATTTATAAAGAAGAAATCTCCGGTAATCGATTGGCTTGAAATTCGAAGCGACTGCAATGCAGCGAGCGCTCTCTCAATGAACTATGCCCGGAAAGTAGACAGCCGTTTATTTTACCGCCCAAAATCTAAAATACATTTTTATTCTTTTTCAACCTACATCCTATGGGTTGACGTACATTTGTGCCAACATTTTGTCCACCTTTAAAAAATTGTCTGCAAATCCCCCCCCCATTTTCGTGATCGGCAGTAACTGCTTCGACGCATTCTGCCTAATCTGTTAAAATGGAAACATTAGTTTGCGTAAAAGCCATAATTTGCATTGGGCAAAATCCTTACTTAAGGTGTGACTAGGAGATGCAAGGATTTGCCAATTATTCGAAACTTCTATGATCTTGTCTCTCGTGAATGTGACAGTCACACAGTACACATTACAACTGAAAGACATTTAAATGACGATTTGAATAACCCATGAGAGAGAGAGAAAATGTCTGTTAACGCACGCACATTAAGTTTTTTTTGTTGATGGCACGTTCCATGCAGGCTTGTTTACTTACGAGATAATTAAAATGTATAAATTATAAATAATGTATAAATTTACAAATATATAAATTAAAGTGTATAAAATCCGGACATACGTTTTACATACATACATACATACATAAATATATATATATATATATATATATATATATATATATATATATATATATATATAATTTAAAAGTAAAAACAGACCCTTTAAGGCTCCATAAGTTATAATTAATTTCACCATAGATTTTTTTTTTTTGTGAAAAGAAAAATGAATTTAAAATTTACACTTTTGAAGGACAGTATTAAGCTTATTTATATGCGGTGACATAGAAGGTGGCGAGGAATAGTGTGAGAGACACGGTCGAGTTTAGAGAAGGAAGGGAGAGTTTAAAATTTATTTTTATTACAATATTGAGGAGGAGGGGGTAAGGATCAGACATTGAGCTATTTAACTCAACAGAAATGATATGGGAAAAAAAGTGGGGAAATAATGAGATAAGAGGTAAGAGATGTACGTCGGGTTTTCGAAGAAGGAGAGGGCTGGTATCGCTTTAGTAATGTAGATAAACACAGATTTTAACGTTTGATAATAATTTAAATGTTTAAAAACTCCACAAAGAAATTAAATTTAATGCTTGTTAGCAATTTAAATTTAAATTTCTCCACAAATAAATTAGGGATGTAATATAAGCCGAATATTATATTAATAAACACACAAAAAAATAGAAATTTACTGATAGTAATATTTTAATATTGTGAAGGTAAAATCTTTATCAGAGTCTAATTCATGAATTTAATTTCAAGCTATTTTTAGATGGGTAATATTGCTTAATTAAAGTTTAGGTTTCAAATCAAGATGGAGTAAGATTTGAAGGTAATAGAAAAAAAACACACCACATACATATTTACGTAAATACACATGCACATACATTCATATAAATGCACAATTACATATATAACCACATACACATGTATCGATATACATCGGTATACACGCAAGTATGTATACAAATACCTACATATATATATATATATATATATATACATATATTGACACGCATCCATCTTTATACATATTTAAATTTAATCCTAAATTTTACAGTTAAAGTTAGATAGTGAATTAAGTTTTAAAATTTCAAAAAAATATTATGAATAATAAGGAGTAATATTTTTTTTTAAATTTAAATCTAAGTGATCAATTTAAATTGAGATTATCTTCAGATGAGTAAAATTTCTAATCTTTCAAGTCTAATTAGAAAATATTTCAAGAGAAAGTAAGATAAGATTAAAAGATAATAAAATACTTTCTGTCTTTCCATTAGAACTCTCTATATATAAATATACACCCATATATTCATATGCATCACATATACAAATTCGTAAATATATATATATATATATATATATATATATATATATATATATATATATATATATATATATATATATATATATATATATATATATACATAAACAAAATATATGCAACCCCATATACATGAATGGATATATATACATATACCTACCTAAATTTACGAATACACATACATATATACATATTTACACGTATCCATATATATGTATATATATATATATATATATATATATATATATATATATATATATATATATATATATATATATAGACACATACATACGTATATACGCATAAATTCAGATATCTATATGCAAGCACATATACACATTAACAGACTATCATTATTGTTTCGTCTGTGTATTTGTTGATATATTGCAATGTAATTGTCATCTTTGATAATGGCTTATGTAAGCCGAAAGCTGAGATTGGATTTAAACATTTATGAATATGGTGATTTTCTTTCATCTTTCAATGATAATGCTATTAAGCTTATCAGACAATATGAAACGAACTTACTTAAATTAAATAGACAAAACTTGTCTATATTGTTTAATGAAACATGCATCAATGAAAAATTGCTGCCTAAATATACACTATATATATATATATATATATATATGTGTGTGTGTGTGTGTGTGTGTGTGTGTGTGTGTGTGTGTATAGCACGGGGTTAAACAGAATAAATGATAAGTTAAAAATGAATATATTCCATTGACAAATCACTATATTGAATATATTTTATTGTTAGGAAAAAAATATATAGTGTATTTAAGAAAAAGATCTAAATCTTAAGGAAGTCCTCATGACGTCCTTAGAAAATACAACATGCCTGGATCGGTGAGGGAGAAAAGAAATGCTGGGAAGCGTACGGTCATTCCCTGAATCGAGGTCTTAAATAACGTGTCCAGAACCTCAGTGACGACCGCTTCATTGACCCCAGGCCCTACGGGAAGACGTTTCATACA